ATATATACACACACACACACATACACATACATATACACATATACATATACATATAAAATACATTCCATTCCAATTCAATTCTTTCATTAATATGCATTAAAATCTTAACATCTTTAACATTTCTTTTCAGTTGAATATCATACTTCCTTGGGAACACTTATAAACTTTCCATAGTTAATTCTTCCCCCCCACCCACCATATTTCTCCCTTATATTTTTATAAATCATTACTAATAATTAAAAATGTTCCCTTTTAATTTTCTCAATCATTTTAATTCATTTATTTATTAACAAACATCCCACTGCATTACAATAAATATTTTATCCATCATCATATTTTCTAAAGTTATTTCTATTTGTAATATAACAAAGCTATCTTATGTACCTTTGCAGAATCCCTTTTACAATTAAATTTGCACCCATTATCTCTAAACAAACGTATGGTTACAATCCTTATATCTTTTCCCTGTTTCTCCATTTCTTGTTTCTTTCTTTTACAACTTCTTTTCCTTGCCTTCTTCCCCCTCTTCTTCTCCCTCTCCTTTTTTACCCCCTCATCTCTCTACTTCTAACTCTTTCGTCTGTAATCCTTTCTTCTGTTGCTTTCTAATATTATACTTATCTTTCAAATTGTTCTTCTTTTTGGTTGTTTTTTCTAATCTTAAACCTTTCACTCTCTTTCCCCCCTTTTCTTTTTTACCCCCACTTAAAATTATTTGATCATTTAAGATGGCTTCTTCTTTGTCCCAATCTTCTTGTTCTGCAAGCATTTCTTGTTGCTTCTCATAGTTCCAGATCTCCATTTCTAAGAATTGAAACATGAAGCCAGAGGAACTTCTCCCTTCTTATGCATCTTCTTTCCAGTTTTTAAGTTCCATTTTCAGTTCTTCTAAGAGTGATACTATTTTAAAAACTTTTAAACAAACACTCAGTTTATTTTTAGTCATCTAGATGCAAAAACCCCAAATCACCAAGTAATCCAAATAATCCAAGGCTGTTTCTACTTGCTTCTTTTTTCCACTTTCTCTTCCTGGGATTCTGTTATTTTGTTACCAAGTTTCCATTATAATGTATCTTTGAGGAATCTTGTTAAAATTTCACTGTAAGTTCCTTTTAATTACAGTTCCATTCCTTAATTCCAGGCAGTCTCCTCCATTTTTCCAGATCCTGCCCTTCTATTTTTTTTTCTCCTTTCCAGCTTTTAAAAACTTTTAAATGTCCAGAAATCTTTATTTATCCCTTTGACTTTTATTTTCAGCTTAGATGCCTATTAATGTCAAAGTGGATTTTTTTTTCAGTTTCTTGCTTAAGTCTCTTAGCTGTCAGTATAAGGAAAGGAAGAAAAAAAACCTAATCCTTTCTCTTCTCTCTCTCCTTCGCAGCTTCAAAATCTTCTTTGGGGACAATGTTGTTAAGTTTAAATTCCAGGGTACCTTATTTGTTGCTTTTGCTGTTTGACCCAATCAACCAAAACTTTCTCTTTTTATCTTCCTCCTGCACATTCTTTTCTGGTCAAGTTCTTCTTTCTGGTGGCCATTTCTGACCACTGCTACAACCGCCTTCGGGAAAGGGAGTAATGGCCAGCTGGGGAGGAGAGATGTGGCTCTCCTCAACCCTGCAGGCAGTCTTCCCCCTCTTCACCACCTCTATGGGGTGGCTTAGCCCGGAAACCAGCTGGCTCGGGGCGTTCCAGCAGCAAGCACGGATCGAAGCCTCAGAGAGACAAGGTTTCGGTCTGTCGCCGAAGAAGCTCAAACCGGAAGTCAGCCCATAACCTTTTTAAATTAATCATAAAGTCTATTTTCTTTACTGATATATCTTCATATTTGTGACTGAAATATGATCGTGTACTAAGTTTATATAGATATAAGCCCTTCAGTGTTATACTGTGGGAAAGGAAGATTTTACTAATTATATACACATATATTCTGTGTGTGTGTGTGTGTGTGTGTGTGTATTCAAAAGTAATTAAAGAAGGTTCATGGCAAGTATATAGTTTTCTATCTTGAAGAATGAATAGTTTAGGTGCATCTATTTTAAGATATCCTTATGTATATAACATTCTTATTTGAACAAGAAGTGAATATGATGGTTTATGATTATCTTATAATTTGACAATAAATTATTGCTGAAAAAGTATGGGAAGATTTAAAAAATGTAATAAGTGATGTGAATATAACAATTACTAGACTACGTTTTTAATCACTCATAAGTGCATGATTATAGAAAATAAAAGTGTGAATTTTCCTACCAGGGGCTCCTTCTGATGGGATGGTTGTTTTGATAGTTGTTTCGATAGCAGGTGGAGCTGGAGTAGATGGAGCTGGAGTAGATGGAGCTAAAAATGCACAAAAAAATTCAGAACATATTTGTGAGATAATAACAATGAATCTAGGCACAAAATAAATTGTATACAGTAAGTGAAACTGCCATACTCCCCAGCATGAGACTGCAGGTGATATCTTTAGTAGTAAAGGGCTTATATATGATCACTTACTAAAAAAGGATTTTGCATGCTAGACATTTATAGTGTTTATAACACAAAACAGCAGCTGACATGACTTAATGAAGTCTTTTTTTTCCACAGTGATATATCCTCAAACAATTGGACTTCCTGAAAATTGCCAAAAGACCAGCCTGGTGGGATTTCCTGTGGACCAAGACTTCTTCAACTACTAACAATGGAACCATGTTCCCTTCATTTATATGACTCTCCTAGGTTAGGGATAGTCTTAGAATCACCCCACAAGATCTTCCATACAACAGTGCTCTGCAAGAAGCCTCAGGTGCAGCTGGGGCCAGGACTGCAATCACTTTGCTGTTTAAACAGCAGCCATTTTGGGTTTTACCTTTTTAAACAGATAATAAGTAGTGCATATTTTCAAGAAAAAAAGTCTGGGACTTTTTCTTCATGGATACTAACAAGGTTGAGAATCCCTTAAGAAAAAGAGAAGTGGAGATGGGAGGAGCTTGCGCCGTGGCGATACGGTCTGCAATCGAGCTCCTCGATTGCAGCCGATATCTCCGCCACTGGCCGGTCCAACGGACCTACGCTGTCCCGTAGGGACAGCCATCGTGAAGAGCATATCCTGAGGATTCCGGGGATACCGCAAAATCCCTGGAGAGCCCGGGTGAAGCTCTTCTTGCCAGCGGCGGAGAGGCAGCCCCCATGCTGCTGAGGCCGGGGCGACTCCAGACGGAAAGAGTTTGAGAAAGAGTTTGTCGGTTGGGTGAGAACTTCTTTTTTTTATTTAATTTTTTGAATTTGGAAAGTTTACTCTAATTATCTGAAGAAACCTGTGTGATTTTTGTTTTGTTTTTTGACAAAATTGATTTAGCGGCGTTTTTTTAGGGAAACGTCAAAGAGAGAATCCATTTTTTTTTTTTTCTTTGCTTCCGGACTCTATTGTTATTTATTGGATAACTGGACTGTTTTCTTTTTTCTATATATTCATATGTTTTATTCTTCTTCTGGACTTTTTATTTTTATTTTTTCTGGGCTAGAGGCTTCTCTTGATTTTGTTTGATTTTTCGGTTTTTGTTTTGTGTATTGCAAGCCGGCTTTCCCTTAAGAGAGGAGGGGGGAAAGTGAGAACTATGATACTTTGTAACACTGCCACCTAGAGGCTCGGAAATATTTAAAAAAAAGAAAAATAGACTCTTCTTCTCAAGGACATCCCCTGATAAGATAGAGGAAAGCACTTTGTGGAATATTATTACAGGTGTCTTTCTGGATATACATGGCTCAGCTTTGAAGCTTGTGGGAAAGAGAAGGGAGTTATAATTAGAGCCTTGGATAATTAAATAGAGTGCAGTGTTGTTGTTTTTTTTGAGTTCTGCCAACCCCTTCACTAACATCAAGGTCCTGACTTTTAAGCTTGATTTATTTGCAAAGGGAAGCCTCTGAATTTCTTTTTTCTACTTATATTTTACTTTGATTTAACTGATTTTATTTTTTCTTTTGCCTATTTGGATCCTGTTTTCTCTTTTTTCCTTTTTTTTTTTTTTAATGTACATTAGCGGACTATTTCTTTTTCCTTTTTTTAATTGAGGTTTTTTCTTTTTTCTTTTTTTTTTTTTCTGGCTGGACTAAGGTGTGGAATCTGAAGAAACTTATTTTTCTTGGTTTTTGTCTTGTTTTTTGTTTTTTCTCTTTTTCTTCTTCCCTTCTTCCTTTTTGGCTTTGTCTTGTTTATTATTATTATTGGGTTTTTATTTTTACTGTTACTTTTTTTTATGGTTTTTTTTTTTTTTCTTTTTTTATTGGACTAAGGTCAGGAAGAATTTGAAGAATTTTTTTTTTCTTTTTTTTCTTTTTTTCTCTCACTTTTGGCTTTTTTATTGTTGGCCTTTTTACCTTGGATTAAAATTTCATATTTTTTTCTCTTTTTTTTGTGGATTAAAATTTGAAAAAACTTGAAGAGTTGGAACCACTTAAAATGAGTAAGAAATTTATATCTTCGGGTGCCTCTATGTCTGCTTCTGCCTCCCCACCATCTGGACAGCGTTCAATTCAGACATTGTTAAAGCAAGATAAAGAGAAAGAAAAAGAACAAGAAAGAGTATCCTTCCAGATGATTATGCAAGGAATTCAAGATCTTAAGGTAAAAATGGATACTATTGAACAAAGAACAGGTAGGATGGAACAGATGATGGAAAAATATGAAGAGAGACTCCAAAATGTTGAAGAGGGAGGCAAACAAAGAGAGGAGAAAATTGGAAATATCGACAATAGATTAACAGCAATTGAACAAGAAAAAAGTGAGATGTTGAAGTGGGAGTTGGATAGATCAGAATTTTATCTTAGATTCCAAAATATAGAAGAAGAAAAAGGACAAGATTTGGTTGCGATAATGGTAGGAATCTTGGCGGAGGCGCTCGAGATAACAGAAGAGAAGATGATGGATGGAATTGATGAGATATATCGAGTTTTTACAAGATATGCGATGAGAAATAACCTACCCAGAGAAGTTCATATTAGATTTATTAAAAAATCTTTGAAGACACAAATATTGCAAGTAGCAAGAGAGAAGCCACTGAAATACAAAAGTAAAGAAATTTTGGTTTTAAAACAAATACCTAGAAGAGTGAGAGAGATGAGAAGAGAATACCGATTCCTGACTAAAAGGTTATTGGAAAAAGAGGTGTCTTACAGGTGGTTGATTCCAGAAGGATTGATGTTTACGTGGCAGGAACAGAGACATAGAATTGATTCAATTGAGAAAGCAGAACTGTTTTGCGCAGAGGTTTTTGGAGGCAGAGAAGGAGGAGTAGGAAAGGAGGTCCCATTAATTGAATCTCAAGAGGAACAAATGGAGGTTGGAAAAGAAGAAGGTGCAGTAGGTGGACAAGTGGATATTAAAGATCAACGTGAGGCAAGACCCACGAGAGTGGTTAAATCTAAATATAAAACATAATTATGGAAGAAAAAAAATTGATTACAATGAATATAAATGGACTGAACTCAGCTGCTAAGAGAAGGAAGATTTTCCATAAATTAATGAAATTAAGGTTCGACATAATTTGTTTACAAGAAGTTCATATTAAAAAGCAACATGAACAATTGTTATTACAACCAAAATTAGGGAAATTGTTTACCTCTTTGACACAATCCAAGAAAAGAGGGGTGGTTTTATATATTAAAGAGGCCATTCCAGCAAAAATGATTTATACAGATGATGATGGGAGAATATTAATGGTAGAAATAATGGACAATAATAGAAAGATGCTTTTGATTGCAATTTATGCACCGAATGATAAACAGGAAGAATTCTATAGAAAATTACATACTAAGACTGCCGAACTTGACTATGCTAATGTAATTATGATGGGAGACTTTAATGGAATTGTGGATAATAGACTTGACTATATTGCAACAACAGTAAAGCATAACAGGAAATCTCTTCCTAAATCCTTTTTTAAAATGATAGATGAATTAACTTTAAAAGACATATGGAGAGAAAGAAATGATAAATCTAAGCAATTTACGTTCTATTCAAATAGGCATCTATCATGGTCCAGACTGGATATGATTTGGATCTCAACAGATTTAATGTCTAGTATTCAAGAAGTAAATATTGAAACAAGTACTTGGGCTGACCATAACCCATTGACAATTGAATGGAAGGGACAAAGGAAAAGATCGAGATGGACATTAAATAATTCTATTTTAAAGGATAAGGAATTTATACAATGGATGGAGAAAGAATTGGCCTTCTTCTTTAAAGAGAACAGAAAAGAAGACACCTCAATACAGAATGTTTGGGACACAATGAAGGCCTATGTTAGAGGCTTGATAATAGACTATACAAGAAAAAAGAACAACAGGAAAAGGCGAACTCTTAAAGCCTTGGATGATGAATATAAGGGACTTGAAAAAGAATTACAGAAAATGCCACACAGAAAAGATGTTAAAATGAAACTGGATATAACTAAACATAAAATGGATTTAATAGAGAAAGAAGAACTGGCACAGAAAATTAGGAATGCTAAACAGAATTATTTTGAGGATGCAAATAAGCCAGGTAGATGGCTAGCATACAAATTGAGAAAGGAGAAAGAGTCGAGGAAAATACCGCAGTTAATAGACGACCAAGGTAAAATTTGTTATGGCAGCAAAGAAAAAAAAGAGATTATTTATGATTTTTATAAGCATTTGTATAAGAAAGAAGACATTGATGAGGAGAAAGTTAAACAATACCTACAGAATGCAAATCTACCTAAGATACCTAAAGAGATTGAAGAAATGCTAGAAAGTAATATAACAATGATGGAGTTAAGTCAAGCACTTAAGAAACAAAATAATGGAAAGGCACCAGGTCCAGACGGGTTTCCTGTAGAATTTTATAAAATCTTTCAAGAATCACTGTGTATTCCACTGTTAGAAGTTATGAATGAAGTTATGTTAAAAAAGATGATACCTAAAACATGGTCAGAGGCTTACATTACACTTATTCCAAAAGAGGAGGCGGACCTACTGCAAATCAAGAATTATAGACCGATTTCTTTACTAAATGCAGATTATAAAATTTTTGCTTCAATATTAGCAGAAAGACTTAAAAAGTATTTGAATAACTTTATCCACCCAGACCAAAATGGGTTTTTGCCAAAGCGACAAATCAGAGACAATATGAGAGTAATTCTGGACACCCTGGAATACTATGAGGCACATCCTGAAAAGCAAATGGCTTTGATATTTTTAGATGCTCAAAAGGCATTTGATAACGTGAATTGGAGATTTATGTTACTTTTAATGGAACAGATGGGCTTTGCTAGAAGATTTATTCAGGCAATAGAAGCAATTTATAATGAACAAACAGCTAAGGTAATGATGGAGGGAGAATTTACAGATCCTATTAATATAAGAAAAGGCACAAGACAAGGTTGTCCTCTTTCTCCCTTGATATTTGTATTGACTTTGGAAGTGTTGAATAGAAATATCAGAGAAGATAAAACTATAAAAGGAATGAAAATTAAAAAGGAAGAATTTAAACTACAAGCCTTTGCAGATGACCTAGTCTTTATCTTGGAAGACCCTATAGAAACAGCCTCGAAACTGTTGGAAAAGATAGAGGTCTATGGGGAGGTGGCTGGTTTGAAAATAAATAGAGATAAAACAAAGATTTTGTCAAAGAATATGTTGCTGAAACAAAGGGAAGAGTTGGCAGAACTGTTAAAAATTCAAGTTACAAACAAGGTTAAGTATCTGGGGATATATTTGACATCAAGATGTAGTACATTGAAGGAGAATAATTATATTAAACTTAAACAACAGATAGCTCAAGACTTGAAAAAATGGGAGAACTTACAATTGTCATTAATAGGAAGGATTTCAACAATTAAGATGAACATTTTACCCAGAGTCTTATTTTTGTTTCAAACAATACCAATTAGGCTTGGAAAAGAATATTTTGAGGATTTAAATAAAATTGTTTTGAAGTATATATGGCAAGGTAAGAAAGCAAGAATAAAGTTAAAGCTTTTACAGGATGCTAGATTTAGAGGAGGGTTTGGACTGCCTAATTGGGAGTTGTACTACCAAGCTGCAAACTTGACGTGGGTTAAAGAATGGATAACATTAAGGAAAACCAGATTGTTGACATTAGAAGGTCATGATTTGTTGTTGGGCTGGCATGCTTTTTTATGGTACAAGGGAACTAAAACACAGGGGTATTTTAGAAGGCATTATATACGGGAGTCTCTGTGGTTGAATTGGGAGAAGATAAAAAAACAGTGTTATTTGAAAATTCCAGTTTGGTTATCGACGATAGAAGCGTTTTCTTATCCTATAATCTATAAAAAGGAACAAACAGTTAACTATGGGGAATTATTAGATGAAAAGGGTGAACTTAAATCGATGCAAAAATTGGAAGAACAAGGTATACGGATGAATTGGTTTTCATATTTGCAAATATATTCAAAGTACTATGAGGATTCCAAAGCAGAGGGATTTTATGATAAGCAAACTGACTTGGATAAGATTTTGATGGGTACTGATGAAAAGGTGATTAAAAAATTGTATGGTTATTTATTGCAAATTAAGCTTGAGGAAGAACAAGTTAAAGAAACTATGATTGCGTGGGGGAGGAATTTTGGATATGGGATTGATTTAGAGAAATGGCAGAAATTATGGTCGCAAAATTATAAAATGACAATGTCTACAGCCTATAAAGAAAACTTGTATAAGATGTTTTACAGGTGGCATTTTCCCCCGACAAGGATAGCAAGAATGTTTAAGAACAAATCCGAAAAATGCTGGAAATGTCATCAGAAACCTGGTTCATACTATCACATGTGGTGGACTTGTGAGGATGCTAGAAAATATTGGACTAAAATCCACATGTGGCTGGAAAAAATGACAAAGAAGCATATAGACTTGAAACCGGAGTTTTTTCTATTGGGAATACTACCAGATACTTATAGTAAAGAGTTGAAATATTTGATTGTAAATGTATTGACTGCTGCTAGGATTGTATTTGCAAAAAATTGGAAAAATGAGAAAATTCCATTGCAAGAAGAAGTTGTAAAGAAAATTTTGGAATGTGCTGAGATGAGTAGATTGACTTTTGAAATTAGAGAGCAAGAAGATAAACAATTTTATCTAGTTTGGGATCTTTTCTATCAATGGTTGAATGATGAAATATTAAAATATAAAAGTTAGATAATAAGGAATAATAATGACTTTATTTTCCCTTTCCTTTTATTGGTTTTTGATACTATATTTATATAATAGTTTTCTTTGTTTCTTTCTTTTTCATATTTGGGATAGAATTGGTATGATTATAAGATTTGTTTTAGAATAAAATATTTAAAATATAGTTATCTCATATAGGCATGACCGAATAAAAGTTTAGTCAAATTTTTTTTTTTTTCTTTAATAGAGATACTAGGATTTATAAATTTGTATTGATAAGAGTATTATATAAAGTAACTGTAATTGTGACTATGAGGTGAATGCACAAAACCGATGGACCAACCGACTTACGGTGTGTACAAAAATATGGGGGAGCTGATACTTTTATGTTTTGTTGTTGTGTTTTTTATGTTAAAAAAATAATAAAAATTTATATAAAAAAAAAAAAAAAGAAAAAGAGAAGTTTATAATTGTTTGATAGTTATTCCAGAGAAGAAAAAGATTTTATTCTATGAGAACACGCCCTAGTTAACCTCCCTTAGTTTTCTGTTATTTTCACTTTCCTTTATATTTTATATTCTGATAAACTAATACAATTGGAATTAAAGTTATTTGTTTCACAGATTTCTGATGTTGATTTTCTAGTGAATAGACTCTTTTTCAGTTGAGAATTACTTCTATGAGTGGCTCCAACACTTCCACTAAATCCCCAGATGTTTCTTTCATTGACCCTTGTCACATGAAGTGCAATAAGTAAGTGATATGAATATAACAATTACTAGACTACATTTTTGATCACTCATCAGTACATGATTATAGAAAATAAAAATGTGAATTTTCTTACCCTGGGTTTCTGATAGGGTAGTTGTTTCGATAGTTCTTTCGATAGTAATTGGAGCTGGAGTAGATGGAGCTAAAAATGCACCAAAAAAAGCGTATTTGTGAGGTAATAGCACTGAAGCCAGTCAAAGAACTAAATGCATTAATCTGTCTGACTCCCCAGCTTAACACTGCTGGGATATCTTTGGTAATAAACTGCTTATATATGATCAGTTACCAATCAAGGAGGTTTGCATACTAGACATTTACAATATTTATAATACAAAACAGCCACTGTCATGACTTAATGAAGTCTTTTTTTCCTGAATGATATATCCTCAATCAATGATGGTTAGATCAGTCTTTGAGTTGATAGCCACAGCCATAAAACTGTAAATAAAATAGTTTCACTGAACTTCTAGATGTAGAAAGATCAATGCAGTACAAGCTAATTCTTATTTTTTAAAGAAAAAAATCAAATTGGAAGTTATGATACCTATCATCAATGCTTAACAGTTTATTAGAAAGTTAGGCTTGGAATGGAAAAAAAAAAGTTGGCTACTCACAATTCTCTTCCATGGTACCTGTTCATAAAGAAAGGAATTTAAATGTCACTCCTATTGATTTTATCATTCTCCCATTTATCCATATTCATATATTTCTCCCATATATTCATATATTTCAGTGAGTAATTTATAAAAACTAGAATAACTATCTCCTTATCAGTTTTAGAATCATCCTCATCATCTATTTACAGTCAGAAAACAGCTCTCTGTTGATAATACATATAACTACAGAGAGCACCAGAAAGTTAACAAACAAATCGTATTTTTTTCTGATTGAATTAACTGTTCCTACACACACACACACACACACACACACACACACACACACACACACTTTTAAAGTCTGTTTTAAAGGGAAACCTTGACTATTTCTTCCTAAAAAGCAATGTCTATTTTACTGTATATTTCTAGAAATTTCTGGTGACAAGTGTGCCCCCAGGAGACCTTTCTCATATTCTGACCTATTGATGGAATTTGACATTCATTAACTAGGCCAATATCAAATAGCCAATCAACAGATCGTTTAGAATGGGCAGCACGATAAGACGTGTGGCTATTTCTTCCACAAGGAAAAGGCATTTTCAATATTGCAATCGTTTATGTCTTCCTTAACATGCATGGCAAAACAAAGTTCTCCATTTGCTACTCAGAGATTGCAATAGTTGATGGAAAAATGGTGTGAATAATTTTCTGACGAATCAATATCATTAAAAAGTTGGAGGAAGAGGGTCAGGTCTTTTGGAAGATCAAGATCAGTATTAAAGATACACCACTTCATTTTTAATAATCAAATCAGATCAAATATTGCAGTGAGCAAGGACAGTATCTAAGACCATATAATGTTGTTCCTTCAGGATGATTGAAAACTATGCAGAAGGGTCATAGGGATTATAGGTCCATTATTGATGCTTGATTAGAACCAGGATTTAAAACAGCACTGCCTTATGCATAGCACGAGACAAACTGCTTCAGATTCTAGATATAACAGAGAATTAAAATATCTGTAGAGTATTTATATTTTCTTAGCTATCAGAAGATGAGCTGCTTTGGTATAAAGAGAAGTAGAAAATGAGAAATGAGTGTGACACACATTTGCCACTTGGTTGCTTCCAGGAAAATGCCAAACCAACAAGGGGTATCTTCACACAGAAGCAAGGTTTGATGCCCCTTCAAATCCAGCCAAACCTTCACATAATAAGAAAACGAAATGTAATTCATATCCAACAAACAATAAAGAAAAGTAAAATGAAGACTTAGCCTTCCATCCTTCAGTAAAATGAAGATCCAGATTTTGGGGACCAATATGTAAATAATGATGACTTTGTAAACCTCCCAGAGAGTGCTGTAAAGCACTAAGGAGTAGTATATAAGTCTAAGTGCTATTATTATTGTGAAAGGGAAAAATACTTTCTGATTACTGAATATTGCATTAACATTCTGTGTTTAATATCCAACTAACTGTTTCTGATTTTGAGGAGAGGAAGACTTTTTCCTGCAAAAAAAATATTTATTCTATGAGGGTGTTTTTACCAGCTATTTAAATAACAAAAAGTATCATTTATACAGAGTAGTAGCATAATTAATTTTAAGACATGAAAAGCGGGTTATGGAACTTACCACTTGTTTCTTCAGGATGAGCTATTTAGAAAATAAAATTAAATAAAATTATATGTAAATGATATCATTTGTATTAATTGTCAATACTATTATAACAAGTCATTAAAATATGGTATGATTGCAACTAAAATGTGATAGCGAACTGAATTTTCTCAAAAACATCATGAGGGTCAGTGTGAAGTCAGAATGGAAGGAAAGAGAGAAGAATAAAATAGGCAGAAATATGTTAACTTACATTTCCCAATTTAGAACATTCCCACAAAATAAGAGAAATCCAATGCCTGACATTTTCCATATGTGATTTTGTTTTGGGACTAATGAAGGAGTGGTCCTGAAATAGCCATTTCAGTACACGTATCCGCACAATAATGTGCATCTGAATAATTGGCAGTTAAAACTCATTTACACTTTAAGTAAAATGGCAGGCTTTCCTAACATGGATTTCTCCAAATGGAATGGGGCTGAAGTTCTCAGAAGCAAGATAAACTATCTATAGAGCTCAAAGTTCTGTAATATTGTTCAAGTCTCTGGACTAAGGGTCATTCTTGAACGTCTGTTCTATTTTAATATAACCCTCTTGAATTGTATAAATTGTTCTTAATTCCTGTACAAAAAGTAAACAATGATAATTTATGATTCATCACACAGTCAGCCTGAATTTGGCATTTTTGTCCATCTTCTGAATCCTTTCCAAGGACTTGGCATAGGCAGATGTGGATGTTTGATACTGTTGCAGGATATCAGCTCTTCTGAGTAAAGCCGCCTTTTGTAGTTGACTAATGGTGAATTTGTCATCACTGATGGTGTTCAAATGGCACTACACTTCCTTTCTTTTGCCATAGTTAATCTATTACTTATTATTTAATTGATTATTTAGTTTAGTTTACTTATTATTTACAAACAATAATTTTGAAACTTCTTGGAAAAATTATAGATTGAAAGTACAAACTTACTGGTAAAGTCAGCTCTTGGCAATGGAGTTGTGAAATCCTCTGATAAGAAAAATAATCTATTAGTCTTTGCTCAATATCCTTAGTAGTTATGAGTTATTTGTAAAAATAATGAAGGTGGGATACAAATATGTAAATAAAGCTCAGTTGTTTGCTCTGTTTTTCAATTGCTTTTCTATCAATAGCCATAGAAGATCCTTCCAATTTGTTGTTTTCTCAGTTCTCAACCTTACCAACTTTAAAATATATGGACTTCAGCATGCTGGCTAGGGAATTCTGGGACTTAAAAGTTGCCAAGGTGAAAAACACAGCTCGAAAGGACAGAACCATTATACTATACTGAATAAAATAATTTCAAAATGGCCAGAATTAGCATAGATAAATTGTGAAAATATTCCTGTCCATTTGGAATAAGAGCTTTATAAGCTTATAAAGAAACAAAGGAAGCCACTTTCAGTTTAGGGATTTATAAGATTCCTTTGATGAGACACATGTGATTCTACATAATGAAGAGATGAGGCTGATGTTGATGAAGGTAAAAATAACAATTAAAAAAATAATAAATACACAAATAAAAAGAAAACAAACAAACAAACAACAACCCCCCCCTCCTCAAATGGCATACTCCACTAGGTCTTTTTCTGCCATCAGTTTTCTATGTTTCTGCAGCATATCTGCAGGCATCTGCAGATAGAGATTGTTTCATAAGCAATCTCACAAAATTACTGTTGTGTATCCAGCCATTCATAAAACCAGAAAACAAATTAGGGGAGAATGCTCTTTGTCATTGCTATGTTCCACTATCTTACAGTTTCAGGTTGCATTTTCTGGGTTGGCGAATAAAGCATTCAACTGCAATTATGTTTTGTGTGTTTTAAGGACTAATTAGCCCAAGTATTCTTCTCAGAAATAACAGTAATTTTGGATTTCAGATCCAATTTTGAATGCTTTGTTTGTGGTATTGGGCCATGCAAAGTATTTTAAAAAGTCCCGGTGGTAATATATATTAGACTGAACCAGCAGAAAGCTGTACAGAGACATGCAACATTTATTTTGGATTCACCAATAAGATGAAGTGATATGGCATACACATTTGTGCTGAAACAGCTGGGGACATTTTTCAGAGCAGCCTGTGTGAACTTTGCAAATGGTCCATTTGTTTTAATATTCTTAGTAATAATAACACAAAATTGTTACTGTTAAACCCATCTTGCAAAATACATCTAGTAAATGTGTGACATAACCTCCTTTGTGAAAGAAATTTTCTGTGCACCATCTTCAACTGAAGGCCAAAGAGGTTAACATGTCCAGAAGTTCACAATGGAATAGATTAAGAACTCTGGGGTTGAAGGAGGCTCAGGGCTGCACGTTCTTATTCTAGAAAGTTCTACAAGTCTATTTTTCCTTGCCAATATTTGAGAGTTCAAAAAGTACGGTAGAAGAAGCCAGAATATTCTCTTGTTGCTTGCACACTTCCTTCTCTTCCTGACCTCAGAGATAGCACAGTCCTGATGACATGCTATCAAGGGAGGAAGGAGTATTGCTAAAATGCCCTTTCCCAAATCTTCTTCTAAGTCCTAACTGGAAGGAAGCAAAAGTGGAAAAGAAATTACTCTGTATTTGAAAATTAATTATGGCATTAATTCTGGCAACATCTTTGACTATTTATAGTTTTGAAAAATGATCAGCCTTCCCAAACTGAGATAAGGTGATTGTTGTGTAATTTCTTTCCATGGGATTTAATCCTGGATTGAAGCTTATCTCAAAGGAAAAACAAATCTAAATCTGAAATCACAAATTGCTAGAGTTCTGATTTCTGAGATTAGGCAGAGAAAGACAGACATGTATAATAAAGTAAAATGTGAGCAAAAAATGCCCCTTGGTAGGAAAACATAGCAGCAAGTGTGGTCAATGTCTGGAACACTCTACCTGACTCTGTGGTTTCTTCCCCAACCCCCAAAACTTTAACCTTAGACTGTCTACTATTGACCTCATGCCTTTCCTAAGAGGTCTGTAGGGAGTGTGCATAAGCGCACCAACGTGCCTACCGCCCCTGTCCTATTGTTTCTTTTATTTTTCTTATATGTACCCATTTCATGTATTCATAACTATGTTTATTCTTAATTAAAAAATAAAATTAAAATAAAATAACAGAATAGTGGAGTTGGAAAGGACCTTGAAGGTCTTCTAATCCAACTTCCAGCTCAGGCAGGAAAGCCTTTACTGTTTCAGACAAATTGTTATCTAATCTCTTCTTAAAAGCCTCCAGTGCTGGAGAATCCACAACTTCTAGATGCAAGTCATTCCACTAGATAATTGTTCTCACTGTCAAGAAATTTTTCCTTAGTTCTAGGTTGCTTCTCTCCTTGATTAGTTTCCATTCTTCTTGCTTCTTGTCCTGGCTTCAAGTGCTTTGGAGAAAAGGTTGACTCCCTGTTCTTGTGCTTACCCGTTAGATATCAGAACACTGCTATCATGTCATCCCTAGTCCTTCTTTCATTAAACAGGATCAGTAGCATGCTTACCAGAGGTGGTATTCCGCAGGTTCTGACTAGTTCTGGAGAACCGGGAGCAGAAATTTTGAGTAGTTCAGAGAACCAGCAAATACCACCTCTGACAGTATCACCTGCCACACCCACCATGCCCACAGAACCGGTAGTAAAAAAAATTGAATTCCACTGCTTACCTCCTACATCATAAAATGCAATGAAGCCTTGACCTTCTATATTGGAATGTCTGTATAGTACCACGGTCAGCTGGCCTGAATACGAGAAAAGTGTCTTTTCTCCTTCACATATTTTCCCAAGTAGAGTTGACCTCTCTGGCTCTCCCTGATAGACAGCAATATATTCAGTAGCACAGTCTAAGCTGAAGAGGAAAAAGTACACAATAGTAATCATGGATTGGAAAACAGAGCATCATTGGGGAAAAAACACTCTGGTTTCCCCTTTCATGCAAGAAGGCCAACAAAATGGCAAGGATTGAAATGACTGAATGATATTTGAAATGAAAATGCTTACTTTATATAATTAAGGGTTATTCTTATTGGATGATGCTCAGGGGAGTTAATTCTCCAGACACACTTTTCACTTCTATTGCCTCCAGGATAATAAGGGCCAAAAAATGAGCCTGTAGCATCTGAAAACGTGCTGCCACATTCAGCTACCGCTATAAAAAACAAACAAAAAACAAAAACAATAAAAATGTCATATTTCATCATATATATTAAATTATATAATACCTATTGTACAACTCTATAAATATTATCGTGAAACTTTATACATTAGCTTACTTTAAGAATTGTGAATTTAATATTAATTGATTAATACTTTGGTTTCTGTATATATTTAATGGAATATATCATATCTAAAACCTCTTAGCAAAAACACAACTACCAGCTATACTATCTTCTGAAGCTGTTCCTAAAAACACAGTTTTTTAATCACATTTTTTATTTTTTTTAATCTTATTGTTTCTTGTGCCTTACAATTTTGGTCACTTTGGTCTCATGATAATCAGCACAAGCAGAAAGTTGACATAGACCAAAATTATTATATGAAATGAAATGATTAGCGCACAGCTATAAGAAGTAAAAGTCTGCCTTTTCCTGGGCATGTTTTATTTTCTATGAAGACAACGCATTAGGCATCATTGTATTAATCAAAGATCTTGCATGTCTTATAATATTGGCTATATTTGAGTCTCCCATTTTGAAATACAGAATTCATGCTATTGGCAGCACAGTAAAAGACTGGGGAAATAAAAATGTCTGGAAGCAAGGAAATTCAAGGCATTCTGCTTTAGTGCCTAATGAATTAAAAATGTGCAAATAAAGCTCATATATACCTTGTGGGTATTTGCATGTCAATTGCTTAATGGGAAATTATTGTCCTAAAAACTGTTCTACAAGGTTGGCCAAGGTTAGTCAAAACTAATTTTTCTGAATTATAGTACGTAGATGATCTACTTACCTGTCGAGAAAAGATCACTTGGCATGGGGGTTACTCCTTTAAAAAGAAGGTGAAAAAAAGGGGAGGGGAGACAAAGATGAATTATTTTGCTGTTACCTCAAATTTGGTGGAAATTGTGTTTTGGATTAGTTTGATCATATTTATGGTGTTTGTGTGTTTGTGACCTTTAGGAAGTCAACCATTAAAGGGGCAGCATAAATTTCTCTTCACTAAAACTCTCCTTGCTGGTCTATCATCAGCAGAGAACTGAAAGCTTTGAAGACTTACACAAATACATTTTCCAGGCAACTTTAGTCACAGACACGTTCACCCCAGTAACTTCCAAATTGGGCTCTATTGTAACAAGTTCTACATGGGGTTGCCCCTGAAGAGCATCTGGAATTTTCAGATGGTGCAGAATGCAGCAGCGGTGAGCAGTTATGTGTGCTCCTAAAATCACACATATCACACCTCTGCTCCATGAGCTGCATGGTTGCTAGTTCAACCATGTTCAGTTTTAAACATTAAAGTTCTTCATGTCATAGTACTGGTTATCCGAGGGACCAGCTCTTCTGCTCGTTGCATTAGATCTAGAAGAAATTGCATACTTCGGATCCTGTCTGTTAGGGACATGAGACTTCTCAGCCATGGAACATGCTTAATAAAACATTCTCCTCCTGAAGTGAGGTTAGCTCCATCCTTTTTTATGTTACATAAGTATTTCAAGACCTGATTTTGTTATTAGGTCCCAGGGAACTACGGATATCTTAAGATTGCCATAATATACCTAAAATAAATAAATAAAATAAATTTGAAGTGGAATCTTCGTAACTCATGGGGGGGAAAATACAACATTATTCATCCCCATGCATTGTACTCAGATGTCTGGTTTGTAATTAATTATGCTTATGGAGAAAATAAGATAAAAATTTTTGATGTGCAGCTTTTGGTTATTTGAGAAAAATCTAACTCTTGCACCAGGAGAATTAGAATAGACAGAATAGATTTTCTACACCTTTTAAAATGTTTACTCCTTGCAGTGCAGTGAATACCTTTACTTTATTGACTAATAGTCAAATACATTTTTTATAAAAAAAAATAGAACAATACAATGCTGATCAAGTTAAGGACAGAAGAAGTCTAAGACTCTTATAGAAAACCCTTCTGTTAGATGATGATCAGGGCCATCACTTCCTTGATGGCAAACACAATCAAACAATCTTTACTTTACTATTCTCCTGGAAATTTCAGGTGAGAGATTTGCATATGTACTTAAGAAGAAGTACATATGATCAATCTAGTGGTGGGATTCAAAATATTTTACTACCAGTTCTGTGGGCATGGCTTGGTGGGCATGGCAGGGGAAGGATATTGTAAAATCTCCATACCCACCCCACTCCTAGGGGAAGGTTACTCAAAATCCCATTCCCTCTCCACCCCACTAACTTGATTTTCAGCTCTGTTCTCCTGTGCAGGGCAACAAAAGAAGACCTAGCCAATCAGCTGGTACTTGGGAGGCAGAGAATAAATGGGGGTGAGGCCAGTCAAAGGTGGTATTTGCCGGTTCTCCGAACTACTCAAAATTCCCTCTACCGGTTCTCCAGAACTGGTCAGAACCTGGTGAATACCACCTCTGGATCAACCCAGGCAGGAGAGAAGTGGGAGTACAGGTTCTGTGCACCAAGTACAGGTTCTGTGCACCAAAGGAGATAATGGATTAGGACGTATGTTGCCGATTCCATAATTGACAACAAATGCAGAGGAGATATTATTAAATCTTCCCTTTTTCCCCTTTCTTCATCCTAAACTAAAATATCCCCATTGTAGCTGATATAACCAGCACTTGATTTTGCAACCTTTTTAGCCTGGGTTACAAGCTCATGAATCTGATGCAATTAGAAAGTAGAAGGCAGGAGGAAAAGAACTGAATATTTGATTTTCGTAATCTGTTTAATATGAAACAATTGTTTTCCCATTTATTCTGGCAGCATCTGAATGAGAATGATTCATTCCCAACTATTTAATCTGGTCATATTTCTCAATGCTAAGGGGAAATAATGAAAAGTGTATATATTTTGCAATGTCCTTTCTTCTGTACCTACTTCACAAGGTTCATATCTTTAAAGAAAAAAATGTGGCATTGAATCAATTCCATTAGTAGAAGAACAACACTTACCAGATACTGTAGATGCTGCAGAAAGAAAAGAAAAAAAAACTTATTTAATATAGCAAACACATTGCTACAAATTTCAAAATCCTGCCGCAGTCCCTTTCTTCTATACCTACTTCACAAGGTTCATATCTTTAAAGAAAAATTGTGGCATTGAACCAATTCCATTAATAGAAGAACAACACTTACCAGATACTGTAGATGCTGGGGAAAAATATTTAATATAAGTAAAAACATTACTACATTTTTGGAGCTCTTGTCCCAGTATTATAAACCTATCATTTCTGTCATCCAACCATAACATTTTCCCTTTATGCAATTCCTGTCCTTTATTTAGCTATTTATTCTTCTGATTTTCATCCAGCCAAAATCCAAAGTGAGGCTCGTATAATCTGAAAAAATATTAATGGAAATCTAAGTGATGCTTATAAATATTGGGAAATAAATATTGGGTATTCTTAATCACTTGTGTACTGTAAGTCAATCTCTTGACTGCATAGATATTCTTCCCAGATCAATGAGTAATTGATTCAACCCAGCCTTTAAACTGGAAAACAAAATGGCATTTAGTAGGAGCTATGAAATTGACTGACTGTGTATGTGTGTGGAATTTAGACTAATCTACTTTACTTCTACATGTAGAACTATCTACTTTATTTGAGCTATGGGAATCAACTTCTGTTCACTTTCTGATCTCCCTGGCACAGTACCTGTAATATAAACTTTTATGAAAATATAGAAATGATTATATTCATTCAAGAAATATATATACGAAACCTTACACTATTGCTTTCTTCACTGTGTAAATACAATTCTCAAACTCACATATTGAGAATGATAGCTGAACATTTCCAAATTAAACATTTGGTTGATTATAACGTGAGCTTTATTTGATACCAAATATGGCATGTATCAATCCACTTTGAATCTTGGTAATGGCTATTAATTAATTATCATTTTTTTGACTTTATATCCTATAAATATAGATATCATGTTTTGCATGTGATAACTATTGTAATTTATCAGCATCTATTGTTGGAGGAATTATAAACCTATCCTGCAAATAGTAATAAATGAGTGAGTTTTTCCAATTAGGACTGTAAACCTATTGTGAATGATAATAAATGAAAGAGTCCTTCCAGTTAGGAATGACACAGAATTTAGGTAAAACAAACTTCTCCTATCTAGTATAATTCTGATTGGCTAGAAATGATTGGAATGTTCACTCAAAGACATTTAGATGGATCCTGAGTTAAAGAAGCTTATGGCATCTCAATTTACAATAAAATCAGAATTGGTAAATAACCATGAAAAAGCAGTACACCTATTTCTAAAATGTATACCATTTGTGTTCTATTAACTCAATTTGTTTTTTTATATATTTAATCATTCTTACAATATATCTTGAGTAAAATAAAAAGAATATAGAATTTCTCATAATTAACTTTAATTACCAATTCTAAAATGGGGCCAAATCATTCTAAGAGATTTTTATTCCTGGCTTCATTATCTTTACACAGCAATTCTTAACCATATTTCACCTGGTCTATTGAATGGGCACCCAAAGTGCATTCATCCAGCCCCAAGTAGCTGCATGGAGGTGCATTCTTCACATTGGGCAATTGTAGAAAAAAATAGAAAAAATTGTATTTACAGTGCTACAATGAGGACTGGCTGGCATGATAAAATGTGGCATTTAAACATAAATGCATTTTTATTTCACATGTTGGCTATTTGTATGGCAGAGGGACATCTTATCAGCATCTTCTGGCATAAGTTAAGAAGACCTTTCAAGTGCTGACCAATGTTTTTTTTTAACATCGTATCCCATTCCAGCTACACCTTAGCTCCTAGTTTTGCTATCATGTTCAAGTTTGTGACTTTGTGGGCCTTTTAGGATAATAATTTAGATCAAATTATATTTCATTATAATTATCATTTATGGAAGGAAGGAAGGAAGGAAGGAAGGAAGGAAGGAAGGAAGGAAGGAAGGAAGG